GCTTATTTCCCAGTGCTTAGCCTTGGGTCTTTATCAATGCTCAACGCACAAACTGCCAGGTTTAACCATTCTGATATATAGCAGGACAGTTAAAAAAAATATTTTGCAGTACCAAAGGGAAGAGCAAGGTATTTCTTAGATAATAAAACAGAGGACTTTACTCACTGAAAACCTAATTGTAGTGAATTGAAAAACTAATTGCAAAACATAGGCTAAAGCAGTCAAATGGATACTAGAAATGACTTGGAGAATTCTTCCAAATCTGCTGTTTTAGCCTGAATTTTGCTATTCAGATTTAATGCACAAGAATTATTACGGAGATTTATAACACACGCTTTCACGTTAAAATGTGCACACATGAAACATTCGGCCCTGTACTATGCGGGATTCGTTTCTTACAGGATTCATACTTAATAGATCATTTGGTTTTGATGTACTGCATGGCAACATTTTTCATGTGCTGCCCAGAACGTTACATGTGCCCGGCACTATCCAGCAACCTTAGTATAGCCATCTTTCCTTGAAGCATTTAAATAACGGAGGCGATCTGTGCCCCCAGATTAATTCTAAGAAGCTTACACTGCTGGCAAAAGGATTCATGCTGTATCATGCTACCATTGTAAAGTGAGGCATGCATTTGTCCAAACTGTTATGTGAGAATCTCCTAACAGTTTTAAGAAGCTTCAAGTATTATTGTAAGCATTATAGTATCTCAATTGTTTAACAGATTTTTTGTTTTAATTTTTTTTTTTTTTTTTTTGAAAGGCCTGTAACATTTGTTTGGCTGTTAAGAGAACAGTGAATCCATTGGTGGGATAAGGAAAGGCTCTTGTTTGAATATAAACAGCCGAACTATAGTCTGAGCTATAAACAAATTTTTACGGACTCAAATAAATATTTATATTCTGCAGGTTTGGGCACACACATTCAGATTGATGTAGCCAGTTTCTAAAATACACATATCAGATATGAGCTCTCCAGTCCCTAACACTTGAAGACTTTTAACTGCCAGAAGATAAACAGAGGTGCCTGTCTTGTTTAAAGGGACACTCCAGGCCAGAGCCAACCAATTCTTTTACCTAAAAAAAAAAAAAATACCACACACATTTGAAGTCCCTAAGCTATCTGCAAATCCTTGCCAAACCAGGAAGCGATCCACTCCACCATGGATATCACTTTATCGTTCTATAGCCCAGCCGACCTGGGTTTCTAGGAGTTGTAGTTCAATTGTTAATATTCTACCGCAGAAAACTAACCACTGAACTGCAACTCCCAGAATCCTTGACTCCCGTGACTTTTGTTTAAGTACTTTTGGAGCAAAAATTAGGCCAGTGTGCAATATAATGGGTGGTCTGGAATTTATAGATCAATGCTAATCATCATCAAAAAAACAAAGAAGATTCTTAAAGGATATTAGAATCACCAGAACAACTGCAGCTTAGTGTTGTTGTTCTGGTGTCTATAGCTGGTCCCTGCAGGCTTTTTAATGTAAACACTGCCTTTTCAGAAAAATACACTGTTTACATTGCTGCCTAGTAATACCTCTAGTGACAGTCACTCAGACGGCCACTAGGGGTGCTTCCTGGATCAGTGCTGCACAGTGTGCAACACTGGTGTTCAGTGTCTGCACACTCTGAATAGAGGCCCTGAATGCATTTATTCACTTTTTGATGAGATGCTGATTGGTGCAGCAAGACATTTTGCCGCGCAATAGCTTCCTAATGCATTCTTGTGTGAAAGCATTGGTTTGGCTGAGATAGTTGGAAAAGGTAAGTAACATACATGATTGTGTTCTTCACACTATAGTGCTCCTTTAACCCCTAAAGGACCAAACTTCTGGAATGAAAGGGAATCATGTCATGTCACACATGTCATGTGTCCTTAAGGGGTTAAAGAGGACACAGAGCATAATTGTAACCTATTTTACACATTGTACCAAAGTGCAAAAGTATGTTCAAGAGAATGGACTAACATTTGCTCTATATAATCTGATATATTGTTCCTGCAATTGGTTGCCCTTAAATCATTTTCCACAAATGAAACTTTTCACTATCTACACATCAAAAATGATATACAGCTTTTCTATGCACACATTGATTTTTACTATAGTGTTAGGAATGCATATTTATATTCCTAACACTTTAATATTCTTTTAAGCCAAGCATATCAAACTCGCGGGCCTCGGGCCGCATGCAGCCCACAATGGACATCTTTGCGGTCCGGCGAGCTGTGAGTACATGCTTAGTGTTAAAGCAGAGCAGACACCTGCTTTCTCCACATTGCAGGTGCCTACTCTGCTAAGAGTTATCCGGCCAGGGAGGAGAGGTTCCTGGCGGCAGCGAGGGAGCTCAGCCTTCCTGCTCCCTCGCGCCCCATCTGTAGTGATTCTGGGTGCCGGAATATGACGTCACATTCCAGCACCCGGCATCACTAAACTGCACGCGAGGGAGCACTGAAGAACAGGAAGGCTGAGCTCCAGATAGAAGATCCCCACATCAGCTCCAAAAGGTAGGGAGCAATAAATAAAATGATGTGAGTGCAGGAATGTGTAAATGTGTGTGTGTGTGTCAGTGAGTCTGTCAGTGAGTGAGTGTGTGTGTCTGTCAGTGTGTGTGTGCGTCTGTCATTGTGTGTGTTGATCAGTGTTGCATTGGCTGCGTCTGGACAGTGGAGTACCTGGAGGTGCATGGAGGCACACAACACCACATTCCGACATGACATCGACGTGCTCCACCTTCACAGGTTTTCAAGAAGTAGCGGGAGGATCAGATTTGGCACAGGGTGCGGACGGCGTCATTTGGGGTATACCAGAGGCCAGACTCCGGAGTCGCATACTGGCAGCAGCAATGTGAGTGGAGTCTGTTTGTTGGCTAGAGGGGGTACTGGGATTTAGTATATGTGGGGGACTGGGATTTAGCAGAGGGGGGTGCTGTGATTTAATAGAGTTTTTTTTATACCGTAGTTTTCAAAATAAACCTACGTTTCTATGAAAATTTAAGGTTTTTTTTTTGCGACCCACATAACTTAAACCTCGTTTATGTGGCCCATGCTAGACTTTGAGTTTGACATGCTTGTTCTAAGCTATGGGAGTTTGCAAGTTTTCATCATTCTATCTGTCTCCATTCCACCATAAAACCAGACTCCTTACTATACCCTTCTCTGGATATCTCTAGAAACACCACCTGTATTTAACACATGGGATATGTAAAGACACAAGGCTGGGCACAGTGAAACACTGCAATCTGCAATCAGAAAACGTGGTGTTCATACTATGGAAAGTCTAACCGCCTTTATACTAGGCACTAATGAAATATTTCTCAACATTTTGTGAGTTATGTATAAAAGAAACTGAGAAGTGATCTAAAGTACTAAAACTGAGGCAATCACCGTGGGCAACAGTGGAACCAGTACAAACATCCCATTAGTGAAACCATCAATTTTACATTTTAGACCATTTTAAAGAACACCACCCTTTTCTACATATTTGCAATTATTTATATAGCACAACGTACTCCACAGCACTGCAATAGGTCAACAATACAGACACTGGATTCTGAGAAAACACATATGGCATTTTACAGTGGTGGGCAACCATTGGCATACCAGCTGTTGTGGACTACATCTCCCACAATCCTTTTACAGACATAATGCTGGCATAGCATCGATGGAGATGTAAGGCCACAACATTTCGAGTGCCCAGGATTGTCTACCTCTGAGTCACAGTAGGTGAAGAGGGCTCTGTCCAAACAAACCTACAAGCTAAACAACCCTCCCCCCATGTCTCTTTGATCATACATTAAGATCCTTTCTCCTATCTGAAGTAAGCAACATCCTACCAACCTAAATCCACATTGCTGACATAGCCCATGGCGCAATGACGCTGTGACTTTTCTCTCTTATCGCCTCTTTTTCTTTCTTACTGCGCTTTTTTTTCCTTTCTTAATTTGTGAGGGTTAACGTCTTGCAGTACTGTGTATGTGTTTGAGAAATATTTGGAAAGATAAACCATTTTGAAGGTTACTATTCCTCCCGTGACGTCACATTGCATGGGAATGTTTGGCTTCTGTGCTTGATGTACTTGTTCAATTGTCAATAAAAATATGAATACAATTTTTTAAAAATGTTTTATATAATAACTCTCTCGAATAATGTTACATAATATTTCATGCTGACTCCTATTTGTAGCACAGACATGCTCCTGTTTTCTATTTCAAATTTTACATTTTATCTCCCATTCCAGAACTCCTCTAAAAAGCAACTATTGTGGATTTATTTTTGTCAGCTGAATGTGAGGATCCTTTGTTTCCTACATAAAATGACTAATTACAGCATATTACTACCAGTGCATCTTGCGCTTACCATATAATTGCATTTTCACTGGCTGTTTCTGTGATTCTGTTTCTTAATTTTTAATCATTTGGAAACTGATTGGACAATGCAGTTGGCCTCCAATCTATCACAGTATCATTTATTATGATCACCAGACCTCCCTTTTTAATTGAGAAATATCTGCATGCAAGAAATATATTGTGTAGTTAATATTTCATTTCATATAACCTTGCACTGCTCATTTCCCATCTGTCTTTAAGGGGGCTGTTATTAGAAACTAGGCATGGCACTAGATAATTGGAGTAACTTCACACTAGCAACCCTGGTAAGAAAAGGGTTAATTAATGAACCCCCAGGTGCTTAATTAGATGGCTTGGGATAACACATTAACACTATATACCCCCCTATATTTGAGAATCTGTGGATACATGTATTGGGTATATTTAAATTCATATTTTACAAATTATATATACTCCATCATTTGTACAGAATACAGAATTCTAAAAATGAAATAGACCATCTACTATACAATGACATTAGTGCTGGCAGTATTAATTATTAAGCACATTAAATGAGGTGATTTAGTGTGTTACCTAGAGGGGATTTTATACCAGAATCTAAGCACACAAGGGAGAGGGGAGCTGTGATACACAGAGCAGTTGGCTCTTTAAATTGAGTAGTCGTAGAAAGAGGTTAGACTCTGCTTTTGAGGTCTTACATAGAGCAGATGCAGGGAGGGGAGTGTATCTAAAAGGCGAGGAGGAGGAGGAGGGGGGAAGAGGAGCACCAGATTGTACCTCTGAGAGGGGAGCATCTGTCACTCTCCATCTTGTTCTCAGACCTAGCCCAGCCCTGCTGAGGAGTGGAGAGACCATCCAGACCAGCTACTGCTGCATCTCAGCCTCCAAGCTTGGCTTCAGCTCTAAGGTATGGACCTGTGCTGAGGGTGTTTTAGATAGTGTCTGTGTGGGTATGCATGTGGTTACATTGCTGAAGCACGCTAGGGAACTGATGCAGATAGAGTGTAGCTAGATCTTTGCAGTCACTCCTTTGTTCTGTAGCCCTCTCCTCTCTCTGCAAAGCTCACTGCAGTATGAGGATAACCACAGCCCTCTGAGCAGCACTCACTCAGCACTCTACTGATACTGGCTTGTCATTTTGAAACTAAACTAGTAAACCACTCTTTATCATTTATCTTTTTGCATGTTGGCTTTATCGTTTTAATATCTAATGCACGCTTTCTGTTAACCATGCATGGATTTGGGGAGAACTGACACATGCCTTGGAAAGGAACCACCCATTATCAAATGAAGTTCACATTTTTTTTTTAATCCCCCCCCCCCCACTCCATGGTATTTCTTATCCCTGAATTTCCATAAAAGCAGACATTGTCCCATTCCCAATGTAGTTACTGTCTCTCAGCTATATCCTTTTTGTCCTGCATTTCTTCCCATTTCTATATGGAACGGATTAATGCTAGCCACGTTTTGTTGGCAATATGAACTGCCACAGGGGAAAGAAAGAGCTTGCTTAACCTTATGGCACCCAGGATGTTAAATGTATTTTATCTGTGTATATTCGTATTATACAAGTTTCACTGTTTGAGTACACACTGTGGGGTGGGGGGTGAATGTGTTGGTTTTTATTTTATTTTCTTTCTTCTGAATCCTAAACTGATACAGCCACTGGCCACCACCTGGGGTTCAACTGACAGTATTTGGGCTAATTGGCTCTCTTACATTTGGGAGGGGTCGTTAAAATTTTGTTGAGGGGGGGGAACCCCTGTTTAACCCATTCAGTGCCAGCTAGCTGTATAATGCGTCTGGGCAGATTTTACTTTTTTTTTTTTCTCTGTATCAAAGAGCAGATGTGTGCGTGATGACAATACATATACCCTGCAATTAACGCCCCCATATACAGTAATTGTAATTTAATCAACTTGCAGATAGTACATCCGATCTCCCCATCTGCTGGGAACAATCAGTGTTAACCTTCTGGCTGCTGTGTGCGTAGGTGGAGGCAGGGCAGAGAGACCAACCCTGGCGACCCCCATCTAGCCAAGAATGTACATTTATCATCTGCAACATCCATTGTAATGTATGTGTCCTGGTTTGCTGATGACGGCCTATGTCTGAATTGGTTCCTGCAATAACCCCTTGTGTGCTTTAAGAGCCCTCAAAAAGGCTTCCTGTTCCAGCAAGCAAGCAGTCCATCCAAATGCAGTTTTCTTGCATCAGCTGGGAAACCAGGGAATTTAAATTAACTAAAGCCAAGAATGACATTATTTGGGGTTTTGAGAGAGGGGAGTAGGGGGAGAGAAAGGCTATTGATTTTTGGTGGTTTTTATTTAGCAGTCATTAAACCCAGCACATGAGAACATCTGTAATCACAATGCCTAAAATAATCCTCTAGCAAACATTGAACACTCTCTCTTTTTTTTTAATTTTTTTTTTTAGACAAAGGGCTGCTGGCCATTTGCTTTAATAGCTATGGGATGTTTGACACCTCCAACAATTCTTATTAACTCGGCAAAATACCATTTGTGATCAGTTATAGAAACTAATGTTGGATGAGAAAAACAAATCTGAAATTAAACTGTTTTTTGGTGCATATGAAAATGTTGCAACTGTTGCTTTTATGTATGTAGACACGGAGTGGGGGGGGGGGGGGTCATGTTTAGGCAAGGGTTAAAATCAGATTTATTCCTCTTGGTCTTGAAGACAAGGATGCAATCTTATCTTGGCAAGCAGATCCACAAAAGCTGAAGGGTGCAGCCATTTGGCACTCTGTTAGATCTCCCAGGAGGCAGTGTTTATGATAAAACTGCTTTTTAGAAAGGGTTTTTGTTTTTTCATCTTGGGGACTTTGTCTCCTTAGCAGATGTTGATTGTAATCTCGGGGGAGATACAGTTGGATTATTTCTAATCTACCATTTTGGCACTCTAATGCCCAACCTATAATCCTAGACAATGGTGTCAAGGTAGGGGCTTTGACTAGCATCTTGAGAAAGGGAAGTCCTGAAGATTTGAGTTGGATTGAAGCTCTTATTTAACGTAGATCAATTCACTTGCCAACGCATGTCGGTGTGACTCTCACCTGTTGGGTTACTCTAGACAACTGTGGTCATTATCAAATACAAGATGGTGGCCATATTGTATTGGTTTTATTTATTGTATATGTGCAGGTTAAATACTGCACTGTTGGGGAGCCCTGTTTCATTTTAAGAAAATTGATGGGGGTGTGTGTGGTGTGGGGTTTTTTATTTTTATTTTTTTGTTATCTTTTCCATGATGTCCTCCTTTTTATTATAGTGTTGGTAAAGAACAGAATGTGGTCTACAATAGCTTATTCAGTTCTGCAATCTGTTGCATCTATTTATTGCTGTACCAGAATCTTTACCCCTACTCAAGTTTACTGACTGGTCTATCATCTTAAAATTCCATTACTATTTGTATACCATGTTTTTATGCCAGCCCAAAGATTTACTATACCACACTGCCATGAATGAGTTTTCTTTACTAAACCTGAATGCATTTTAGTGCAAAGGTCAACTATTGGACACAAATTCCTTGCCCCCTTTCATTGCCCCACTTGTAGAAATGTTGTCGTCTTCCCCTTCTCCCCCCTCCCTCCCAGAGGTGTGTGTATATGTGAATTAGTTTGATTTGCCCTTAATCATATCTCTTGTCTTTCTGCAGAAATAACAATGGGAGCAAAGTTAAGCAAGAAGAAAAAGGGCTATTGTCTTGGCGCTGGTAAAGATGGAGAATCTACGGAAACAACAGAAGTTGAACAAAAAGAAACTGAAAATCAGGATGGGCAAAAAGATGCTGCTGAGTCAAATGGAGAAAAACCCTCTACAGACCAAACTGGAACCAGTGGTGAAGGTGAAGAACAGGTAGCTGAGGCAGAGAAGCAGAGTGTGGAAACACCATTGGTTGAAAGTACCAAAGATGACTCCGATTCCAAAGTGGACAAAATGCCAGAAACCAATTCTAGTGAAACACAAGTGGAAAAGGTTGAGTCAAGTGAAAGTTCACAAGTCAAAACTGAAAATACTGAATCTTGCTCAAATACAACTCAGGAAAAGGCCTGTGATGGGACAAAAGGAAATGGATCAACTGTAGAAAAGTCTCCAATTGCTCAGGAGGCACAAAAAATTGAAGAGGCCCCTGATGGTTTGAAATTGTCATGTGGGCCTCAAGGCTCTGAAGTAAAAGATGAGGCTGTTAAAGAAAGTAAGGAAGATCACGTGGCTCCAGTGGAAAAAAATCCAGTTCAAGAAACTGCGGCTGCAGAAGTCCACGTGATGCCTTCTGAAACCTCCAAACCAGTTACTGAGCTGGAAAAGCAACCAGCAACTGAACACACAGAAACTGAGCCTAAGGAAACAAACTCAGTGCCTGATCCAGTTTCTGAGGAAGTTATTAAGGAGGAAGTAGACAACTTGCAGAATTCTCCCGTACCAGAGTCTGCATCAGACCACTCCAAACCAGAACCTGTGCAAGATACCCAGTCAGTTGCAGACCTGGCGAAATCTGAGCAAGTCCATGAATCCATCCAGGTGACCGGTGCAGAAAAGCCTGAGCTGCCACCAGATTCAGTGGAGGAGCCAGTAAAGTCTGAACAGGTTCAGGAGGCTCCCAATGAGCTAGATGCTGTGGAAAAAGAAAAGGTAGTTGCTGTAGCAGAAGAGCATTCTGATGTAGATGGCAAGATCGAACCCAAGCAAGAAGCTGAACAGTTGCCACCAATTGTGCCAGAGCAATCTGTGCTGATTGAGAATGGCATTGATCAGAAACCATCAGAATGTGAGAGTCAGGTTGGTGACGTAGAAAATGCTGAAACTAACACGCAGCCACCTAAGGAGGCCACAGAAGAACAAGCTGAAGATGTACAGGACTTGATAAGCCAAAATGGTCCAACTGAGCAGTGTGTTTCTGTACAAGATGAATTGAGTGTCTCTACAGACCATGGAGCAAAAGGTTTGAAAATGGAAGAAAACAAGGAAGTTGAACAAAACGTTACTATGCCACAGCAAGCTGTTCCCGATGGCAAAGAAGGTGATGGAGATAAAACTGACGTTCCAGCAGAGCTATCAAATCAAGAAAACAACCAAACTGTTTCAAACCTTGAGAGTGTGACAAATACAGCCCCGGAATTGTTAGCCACTGATGTTCCTGATCACAGTGTCAGTATGTTATCAGAAGAAGAAACTCAGAACCACCCAAAGTCAGGTGAAGAACTGGGAAAGGAAAAGGGGCCTTCTGATAATCAACAGACAAATGATAAACACCTGGTCAGCAATGGCCTCCCTATGAAAGAAGAAATGAAACTGAAAGAAGACTTAGAAAATGAATCTGACAAAGCAATTAGTGATCTAAATGGGCAAAATCATGAAATTGTGTGTAGTGAATAATGGCATGGATGTATCTTTATCAAATGTGAAATACAATAATTCTTCAACCTGATGTACTGTATACATTGTCAGTGACCAAACACCTTCATCCAAATGTACGAAATTTGAAAAATGTAACAAATCTTGCCCTCCAGTTCTGGTATGTAGCAACCAAACACATGTGGTTTGTTTTTTTTTAAATACTGCGGCATTTTCTTCATAACTTCTGGTGCATATGAAAATTCCTATTTATAATTCATATTTTCTATCTCTTCACTGGACCAAGTAATGTCTGTCGCAAAGAAATTAATCTATTAATTGGCACCAGGAATTTTACCAACACCCCCGTGCAATGATCTTAACTCTGTGTTCGGATCAAAATGTCTTAAAACGCATGAATTTAACAATGTTTTCCACAAATAAAATTTCATACTATTTACCCTTTCAGTGTGTTTTCTGAGTGAATTTAGCAGTCTGATTTGGGTGGGAAACATCAGCACTTTAATTTGCCTCTAGCTAACATATAAAGGAAATTATGGCTTCTGATGTTGCTATATAAGGTGTGTGTGGTTTTTTTTTTTTTTTTTTTTTTTTTTTCAGAAGTATCTAAAGCAAGTGGATCTAAACCCAGTTGTAAGGCTCCCCGTGTGTGTGTGTTTTTTATTTTTATTTTTTTTTCTCCTCCTCTCTTCCTACTGGTACAAACTTGATGCATTTCTAAAGGTTTGACTTTTGATGTGCCTTGATGACTGGGTTAGGAACCACCGGTCTCAAACTCTTTGCCACTCCTAATGTAGAAGATGTACAATCCTGTCAGTTGGAACTTTAGTCTTCTACAACAAACCTCTGCTAATCTTCTAATTCATCCAATGGGGAGAATGCATTAATAGCTTTCATATTATTGCGGTTTCTATAGCCAACATGTAGTTCTACATTATCGCTTTATCGTGCAAAGTGGAAGTGTCCCTTCGCTAAAGGGACACTCCACTGTCCAAATACAAAATGAAAAATCACTGTTTAGTAGATATAGCCCAATGAGAACATGCATTTTTTTTTTTTTTCACTGTGATCTATCTAAAACCAACTTGCAGTTCTTTTGACTGCTGACTTTTAAAACCTCACCCATACTTTGTTGGTCCAATCAGATTTGCCAGTGCAACTCAATACAAAGGCTTTGCAAGGCAGGTGCTCTGGGCAATTGCTGCCTCTGGAGTCTAGCTCCACTAAGCTAACCAAACAAGGAAGTAATGCGTTGTTCTCTAATTCAAAGCCAAGGGGGTGTAACCAGGTTACACTCTTCACGCATAAAGCTTTTCATTAAAGGGACACTCCAGGCACCCAGACCACTTCTGCCCATTGTAATGGTCTGGGTGCCAACGCCCATCACGCTTAAAGGACCACTATAGTGCCAGGAAAACATACTCATTTTCCTGGCACTATAGTGCCCTGAGGGTGCCCCCACCCTCAAGGACCCCCTCCCGCCCGGCTCTGGAAGGGGGAAAGGGTTAAAAACTTACCTTTTTCCAGCGCTGGGCGGAGAGCTCTCCTCCGATCCTCCTCCTGGACTGAATGCGCACGCGCGGCAAGAGCTGCGCGCGCATTCAGCCCGTCGCATAGGAAAGCATTTACAATGCTTTCCTATGGACGCTGGCATGCTCTCACTGTGAAAATCACCGTGAGAAGCACGCAATCGCCTCTAGTGGCTGTCAATGAGACAGCCACTAGAGGATTTGGAGGCTGGCTTAACCCATTGATAAACATAGCAGTTTCTCTGAAACTGCTATGTTTATAAAAAAAAATGGGTTAACCCTAGAAGGACCTGGCACCCAGACCACTTCATTAAGCTGAAGTGGTCTGGGTGCCTAGAGTGGTCCTTTAATCCTGCAAGTGTAATTTATTGCAGTTTTTATAAACTGCAATAATTACCTTCCGGGTTAACTCCTCCTCTTAGACTTCCGGGTTCTTAAAACAGTTTTAAATGACGCTGGACGTCCTCACGCTATGCATGAGTACCTCCAGCGTCGCGAAATCCCAATAGGAAAGCTCTAAATAATGCTTTCCTATGGGGAGGTCTAATGCGCGCACCGCCATTGCTGCGCATTAGGTCTTTGCTGGGGGAGGAGCATGGGCAGAGCCTGACCCAGCGTCAAGGGATATAGGTGCTGGATTCAGGTAAGTCACTGAAGGAGTTTTAACCCCTTTAGCAACATGGGAGGGGGCACTGCAGGGTCCTGCAGTGCCAGGAAAACTGATTTGTTTTCCTGGCACTGGAGAGTCCCTTTAAGCTAAAGTGCTCTAGGGATCTGAAGCATTTACCCCTAAGAAAACTTTTTATATTAAACATTTTAGCAGATTATAAAAAAAAAAAAAAATAATAAAGCTCTGACAAAACCAAGCCAGGACATACTTCTAAAATGAATAGAAACATTGTTTAATTTCTCCTGTTTGTTTCTCTATTCTGACCACCAAGGTCAAAAGACAGTTTCTAACTGTTGACATGGAACGAAGAGGGAGGCCCTCTGCTCAAAATAAAATGGTTAAGATTGCTGCATGTAATCTGTATTTTCACACCAAATTAGAAGTAAAATATTAAAAATCGTGAAGTGACCATTCCATTTTCATGACCTGTCAGGATTCTGATCTCATCTATCAAACAATACTTTTTGAATTTTTATGTATTTTATATGGTTAGTGCATTAAAAAAAAAAAGCACATCACTTCTACTACAACAAACTACATTGAGAAGAAACTGTAATAAGATTTTAACCAAAGCAAGAGATTGATGTTTTATTATTGTCTATTTATTTCAACAGGGGTTTAAGGGTACATCATGGATTTCCCAGTGGTGCAGTTAAACTGTCCTCATTCTGTCACAGACCATCTTAACCTTGCAGGTTGAAAGGGATGGCAGAAGATGCAGACGTAACCAAAATTTTGTTTAAAAAGATATAAATAATTTGCCTAAAGAATGGGAGCGGGGGCATACAGCACTACCAGGTATATTGAAAGGTGCACTAATTGGAGCATCTAAACTGTTTTAAGATTGGGTATGTCAGCCAATGGCTCCCCTAGCTCCATCCTTCTTGATTCTGATTAGCAATCGGGCTCTATTTCATGCTGAAGATTGTAATTCTTCATTTTAAAAACATGCTTTTGTGTTAGACTTGTGCAAAAAATAGTGTTTAGCTGTGCTGAAGTAATGGAATACCTGTTACTTGTATTTGTCTGCCATTCATAAACTAATAATTTGTTCATTTGGAAACAGGCATTTGATTATGTTCAGCAAAGCTGTATTACAAGTAAGGTTTAGTCAATGTGATAGTGTGGGCATAAACCTTAAGTTGTGGTTTCACAGCACAAAATGTGCTTGTCCAAATTTTTTTTTTTTTTTCTTTTTTTTTTTTCTTCAATTCTTTGTGTTATGCGTAGCAAGTAACACAGAAAACCATAGACCTTGCAAAGATAAGCATTAAAGGGACACTATAGTCCCCATAACTAGAGGTGCTTCCTGGGGCAGTGCTGCACTATTACTGCCATTCAGTATCTCCTCCCTCTGCATGCAGACACTGAACTTTCCTCATAGAGATGCATTGATTCAATGTATCTCTATGAGGAGATGGTAATTGGCCAGGGCTGTGTTTGAATTGTGCTGGCTCTGCCTCCTTGACAGTCTCAGCCAATGGGAAAGCATTGTGATTGGCTCAGAACACTCCTTCTAATTATGTCAGCTAAGCAGGCAGATCAGGGGCAGAGCCAACAGCAGCAGGCTGGAATAAAGGTAAGTTTTTACTACATGTTAGAGGGTGTAGCGGAACGCCAATAATAAATCCACGAATTCCGCTGGTCCAGAAACGAATCCACAGTCAAGCGCTGACAACAACAAGGCAATATCCCCAACCTCCCAATAACCGGACGAGACACAGTTTTGGGAGTCAACTGAAAATCCTTTAATCGGCACGACAATTTATACAAGTCCCCATGCAAGGGGTTTCCTGAGTCCCTCCCCAGGGGCACTCCCAGAGGGGACTACATGGGGGACTTACAGTACAACATATTTCTCCCATCAGGCACTGCTGCACGAGAGGGATCATCCTCCCAGAATGCACCGTTAAGGGGATTATCCCCTCGTGCAGCAGAACCGGCAATTCACACAAAAATCTATAACTTTTAAAATACACGGTGGATTTGCACGAATGGACGTTCGGTAGATAGCTGGGGTCTGGGCGCATCATTCGTGAGATTGCCGCTCAGATCCCAGCTAGAATAACCGAACGCCGCACAGAAAACACATTTCTTTCAAAACATACGAAAAGAACCGATTACTTTTAGTGAACACGGTTCTGAAACTCCCGAACGTCCTGGAGGCTCAGCGGTGTTCGTGCCGTCGAATAGCTATTGGTAATACTATGCGTTCGACAACACGGACCCGCTGAGGAACAAAGGATCCAAGATGGCCGACCGCCGCATGGTCGGTAGTCGAACGACGGCCACCCAGGAGAGCCTCTAATTACCGATTGCAACAATGTTGCAATCGGTTAACTAGCGCCACACGCCTCTAAGTGTGTGGGCTATGAGGGGGTATCGCGTTCGCCTTCACGAACGGCCCTCCAAAGTGCCGTTCGTGAAACGAACGGGAATCCCCATACAAACCGCCATTGGCATTCGGCTAAACAGTAATTACAGTCTCTGCAGAAAATACATCAAGCACATACATAAGAATAAAGCGCATATCTCCCCAGACCTGTAGGCAACCCTTAAAGGCACAGTCTCTAGTTATAGTTCAAGTGGCTAGGTTTGCCACAGAGGGGAGTAAGAAAGGCCAGGGAGGATTATGTTTTAACACTATAGGATCACTATAGGATCAGGCATACACGGTTGTTTCTGTCCCTATAGTGTTCCTTTTAATGATTGTCAATAAGAGGCAGCAATCTGTTGGAGTTCTTCATACATGCATTGCAATAGGTGGCAGAAAAAGACAGAATTTGGATAAATCTAACTGTACTGCCCAACAGCAAAAGTAAGTGATTTGGTGTTTATGTCCCGGAGTTCACTTGACTGAGGGGTGCATTCAACCTCAGTTCACCTCTGCTCTCCTATATACCCATGGCTTATTGCTTTTGGAGCTGACAATGTGGAGAAAACCATCCTAGAGAATTCATAATGTAACTTAAAGGTAGACATTATGTTTTGTTATGTTGAAAGATAACTGTAATAGGTTTACCTTATTTGAAGGGATTTTGTTTATTTTTAATTAAAGGGACACTTTAGCCCATTGACGTGGTCTGGGTGCAAACTCCCATTACCCTTAACCCTGCAGTTGTAATTATTGCTGTTTTTATAAACTGCAATAATTACCTTGCAGGGTTAAGTCCTCTTCTAGTGGCTGTCTTCCAGATCTGGTCTGGGTGCCAGATCCAGCTAGGTTTAACTTTTTTTGCAGTAAACATAGCAGTTTCAGAGAAACTGCTATGTTTACCTATGGGTTAATCCAGCTTCCAGTGGCTGCCTCATTGACAGCCGCTAGAGGCGCTTCCGCGCTTCTCACTGTGATTTTTACAGTGCGAAGACGCCAGCGTCCATAGGAAAGCATTGATGATGCTATGAGACTGGCTGAATGAGCACGCGGCTCTCGCCGCGCATGCGCATTCATCAGATGACAGAAGAAGAGAGAGGAGAATCCCAGCGCCGAGGGAGCCCGGCCGCTGGGAAAAAAGGTAAGGGATTAACCCCTTCCTCCCCCTTCAGCGCCACGGGAGTGGGACCGTGAGAGTGGGGGCACCCTCAGGGCAGTATAGTGCCAGGAAAACAGGTATGTTTTCCTGGCACTATAGTGGTCCTTTAAGGTCATGTTTCTAATTTACAACAAAGAATTTCAATATAATCCTTTTTAAACAAGGCTTGAGAGGAATTGTTTCCTTGGCAGGAAAATGTTTTTTAAAAGGTTTCAGAACTAATACTTGTTTAGCAACACTGTGCAGAAAGTTGCAATTTGCACAAAAATACATAGAATGTGAACGATCACCTCCCCCCACCCAAACATTGTCATGCTTTTTCACTATTTACCTTAGGATGGTGCATGGGCACTTCTGGCACTATAACCACTGTGGGATGCCATGTTTTAGTGCTCCTTTACAAATAAATTGGATCATAATCCAGTTCAGACAAGACAAAACTGAGTGAACATTGCAAATGAAAAGGAAAAATACACACTTTTAATTTCAACTCTTCTCTGGAAGCTTTCTTTATGCTGACTGCCAGGTGCAAAGAACCAAGCTTATGAGTGACAGGAACCAAGATGGAGACTCAGAGGTCCAGGATAAAGAGATCTGGATTTCTTTGTTTATCTTTCACAGCTTACAAATTCATATTTATTAAATTTATGGGTAAGAACATCTTTGCTTATACTAGGAAATGGCAGTTTACATTAATATATGCCAAGATGCAAGGTTACAAGAACTGGGCAAATCCTATTCCGCCGGAACAGTAGGTTGTGCAGAAGAACTGTGTTGGGAGCTGTTCACCAAAGGCACTACAATGAAGTTGTTGCTCATTGGAGAACAATGTATTTTATTCACGGAGGAGAGATAGTGTTACCATATGACCTGATGCTAATACTAGTAGGAGTAGAGCAAGCAGGAGGCCACACATATCCTTTCCAATTTTTGTCACAACCAATCGTTTACCTTACTCCAAGCATGTCAAACTCGCGGCACACATTGTACATCATTGGGGCACGGCGAGTCGCAAATACATTCTTGGTGTTAAAGGTGACTACTCTGCTAAAATTTACTCGGCTGGGGAGGAAGCAGGACGCTGGCGGCAGCGAGGGAGCTCAGTCTTCCTACTCCCTCGCCGTTTGTAGTGGTGCCGGAATAGGACGTCATATTCCGGCACCCGGCATTACTAAACTGTGCGTGAGGGAGCAGTGAGGAGCAGAAAGGAGATCAGATAGAAGATCCCCACTGAATGATGTGAGTGTGTACAAGAATGTGTAAATGTGTGTGTGTCTGTCAGTGAGTGAGTGTTGAGAGATAACTGTAATAGGTTTCCCTTATTTGAAGGGATTTTGTTTATTTTTGAAATCCCATAATCATTAAACATCACAGGGCTGTGTGGCTTACCTAAAATCCTAATAAACAGTATTCTGTACTGAATATACTTTCTAAACTAGCTTATAACATGCTAGTAACAAACAGTTTAAAAT